TTGTCATCATTAAAACCAACTTTATATATGTACAACTGTGTATATACATCAACAGTATGGGATTATAAATTTTACTTTTTTTAAATAAGTCAGCCAAGTTGCAGTTTACGTATCAAAACATACTTTGCATACACATACACTATAAGGTATGGGTGCTCAGAATCAGCAACCTTGAATGAGAAACTAACTAAGAAATGACAGTTGTGGAATGACGGACGTCGAGGTAATACGGATGGTATTTTGTATTCTGCCTTGACGTCCGAAGTTTTATAAGTGTTAAATACTTGAATGATATATGTATAATCTCATTAAAATCTGCGTAATTCTAAACTGAAACTAGTTTGTGTTCTCTTTTTTTTGTAAATCGGTTAAGTAAACTTAGTACTGGCCAATCCCTGTGAGAAGCGATTTATCATCTGTGGACAGAAGTTGAAGGTTACAAGACATCCATCCCGCTCACACATTACATTTTATGACCAGTAGATCATTTATCATTTGTCTCTCTCGTTTCTCAACAATAAATTCTCTTTATGTTTTTATTGATCGGAATCGGTCGCGGGAATCGGTTTATTAATATTTTTTGTGGCGGTGGCTTATGGGTCCTTGGGTGGATTCCTGTCAATAATTTCGAGTCCCAGAAGAGTCTGTCTCATGCTCCCGTGTTACAACTAAGTTTTAGGAAGGTTCTAGGATGATTAAGTCCCGTCTTGAGCAGTGTTGGCCTAGTGGCTTCAGCGTGCGACTCTCATACCTGAGGTCGTAGGTTTGATCCCCGGCTGTGCACCAATGGACTTTCTTTCTATGTGCGCATTTAACATTTGCTCGAACTGTGAAGGAAAACATCGTGAGGAAACCGACATGTCTTAGACCCAAAAAGTCGACGGCGTATATCAGGCACTGGAGGCTGATCCTACTTGCCTACTAGATTTGAAAATTATTATGAAACAGATTCAGAAATCTGATGCCAAGACCTAAAGAGGTTATAGCGCCACTGATTTATTTATTTTTTTTAGTCCCGTGACATCGTTTGAGTTAGAGAAGACAGGCTTGCCTAATGCCTGCTGGGTTCCGGGGCGTAGCCAGAGGAACTATTGTACTCCTCCCTATAACGCGATTTCCGTCTCCATATAACGCGGTATTACCCGCCTATAACGCGGATATTTCTCAAGTTTTTGTAGTGTGAAATTTATAATGATTTAAGTTATTTATAATGAGTTAAGCCCATATTTAGTTTTACGAACCTTTCCGCCTGTTTCAATTGTGTTATAAAATTAAACTAAATAATATGAAATTCGTGTTCGTAGTTTTTGAATTGTTAAAAAAACAGTTATATGAGAATCTCTACAGACGTGATTTGATATAACGCGGTCCGTGTCTACCGCGTTATAGAGGGATTATGGTACTTAATAAATTCTAACGCCATAGTTTCACACCCTTAATTTATAAATCTTCTACTAGAGCCAGATTCATCTGCGTGATGTTTACAGCATATTAGTAAAGGTATTCGCTAATAAGTATCAAAAATTCCGGCGAAGAGTCGAGAAGACAAGTTGACGCTGTACTGCGTGCGTAGGGTTTGCGGCAGAGGTGATAATTGTCTGGAACAGTCTTATAATTTTTTATACTTATTATATATAAATATTTATTTATACGTTCTACAACAATGTGTATGCCTAAAAAAATACAAGTAAGTATGTCATCACAAATTTAACACACATACACATCATCACACAAACATCCTCTTGACTATAAAATGACATTTAATTCGAAACATTTATAATATTAATAAGCCTTCTAAGTGGACTGACGACATCGTCAAGGAGGTTGGCTCCCAGTGGATACAGAGATGCCAGTGCAGGGCGTACTGGAGTAAAATGAGGCCTACGTCCAGAAATGAACCAAATAAAGTGGCTATTGATGATGATAATATTAATAGAAATGTTATAGACTTATCTATATATTGTTTTTAATGTTTTGATCCAATGAAACTGCTGGTTACCACTGTTCTTTCTAGAAAGAAAATAATAAAATTTCACATAATAAAAAAGGATATATGTATAAAGAGAAAGAAGAAAGGGTCTCCCTTAGACCGCTGGGAAGATGATCTGAAAAGATCTGAAAAGCACAGGACCGACAAAAATGGGCATACATATATATATACTAACATAATCTAAGCTAACCTACTAACAAAATCAATATTTTTGGTTACTGTAATATAGCAACTACCAAATATTGTAAAACAGGAAATAAAAAGGCTTATTATTATTATATTAAGAGAAAGTGCACCAGCCCCCACTCTAGGATTCAGTATCGTGGGCAGCAATTCTCTTCCATTTGACATATCAATTATTATAGATACTTAATAAATTCTACTACTTACAATTTTATAAGTAAACTACTGTTGCACAAGAAGAATACTTTTGAGGATAGGACAGGTTGAGAAGATGTTGCTTATGATTGATAGATTGAATCTTTCTAATCGGCTTTACCTTTGACTTGGCGTTGGTTTCTTGTGGTCTACCGCTTATGTCACTGCAGCTGAATTCCATCGTTGGACTGCAGCAGAATGCAAAGAGAGTTTAATAATACATCGCTTTTTAAGATTCTGACGCGCACCACTTATTTGTGCCAGCTGCCAGTACCCCAACCGATACGAGTTAGGGGCATTAAAAAAATACGCCCAAGCCCTCTGGTAAGTCCATGGGCGGCGTCAACACTTTATTTATTGGCCCATTTGCCTCCTGTCTCATAAAAAGACGTGTCAATCGCAAGGCACAGCTATTAATTTCGAAAACAGTTTTAATTTTTTTAAATCTTTATTTACAAAACATCCAGGCGCGTTCAGACTTCTAGTCTTGGGTAGACTTGTTTTAAAGGGCTATTATGGGTGTTGGATCTCTTCTAAGCTGTAGACCATGTATTTACGAACTTGTTTTTTTTTTTTTTATAGAACGGGGGCAAACGGGCAGGAGGCTCACCTGATGTTAAGTGATACCGCCGCCCATGGACACTCTCAATGCCAGAGGGCTCGCGAGTGCGTTGCCGGCCTTTTAAGAATTGGTACGCTCTTTTCTTGAAGGACCCTCAGTCGAATTGGTTCGGAAATACTTCAGTGGGCAGCTGATTCCACATAGTGGTGGTGCGCGGCAAAACCTGCCTGGTATTTTGATAGTATCAAGTTAATATATGAAAATAAAAAAAAATATGTTTATTACGGAATATAAGATACAGGTATCACTTATTCCACGTCATTAAATTAGAATCGGTAGACATCCCTACTCATCGGCAAAGAAGACAGAGTGTAGGTCTAGAGAAAAAGCCGGCGTAAAAAACTCTCGGTACTCTATACTAGAAGCAGTTCTGACTGTAAAACACCAGCCAAAATTATTCAAAACATTTAAAGAAACTTGCCTGTGTCTGTACCACCATGTATTTTGAATTGTTACGCCATGACTATCAAACTATTTAATCACCTTCCCAGAAGTTATAGATCACTGCCGGGTTCACTTTCAATGGAAAGGTGATTCGATTTTCTTTATAATGTGGGAGAGTTTTTAGATCGTAAGTTTTGACAATCATAATTAACTTAACTGTTCTTATTTTTAAATAATAATTAAAAAATTAGTGCTGCAACTTTTTTAGGTCTGGGCCTCAGATTTTTGTATCAGTTTCATTGTTATATGTCAATCTAATAGTCAGTCAATCAGGCGTGCCTGACACACGCCGTCGTTTTTGGGTCAACGGCAAGCATCAGAAGCTATGTTTTCCCTAACCGATCGAGCGAATGTTAAATGCGCAAATAGAAAGAAAATTGGTGCCCAGCCGGGGTTCGAACCGACCTCAGGGATGAGAGCACGCGGACGCCACTACGCCAACACTGCTCAATTTTTTATCAATATGACATGATAATTAATATGATATTTATATGGCTGATTGTGCGGTTTTTTGTAATTAATCTACCTGAATGTACCGCACCTACCACTTTCTTCGCAAATAAACAGTTTTATTATTATTAAGTAGGTTTAAAGGAAGGAAACCTTATTTATTTAAATACGCATTTATATTGAATAAATTTTAATTCTGCTATATACATGGCTGTAGAAAAGGTCTTATATAACTTATAATACATATATCAGTCTAGATCGGCTCGTGTAAAAATAGATAAAATACATATTCATTTGTATTTAGTCTAAAAAGCCCCAAATTTTTGTAGATTAGGACATTCAAACCATGAGGCTTTACAGCGGTAATCAGAGTCGTTTTAATAAGTGTGTGGACACGTTTGCCTCGTCTCACTTCCCTCGGACAAGCAAAGAAGATTGGGCTTCCGCAGAGCAGGCGGAAATAATAAACGGCCCAAATATAAGAATCTTTCCTCCGACTTCGATTTTGTTCCCTTTGGAGTAGAGACTCTTGGGCCGTGGGGTTCATTAAAAATTTAAGTTGGCGTGACTTGGCTTCCGTATAATGCACTAATTTAGGTTTAATTACCGACTCTGAGTAGCGCTGTTTATGACCAAATTAGCGAAAACATAATTTACAAGTCAATTGCTTACCACTATTATCACTGGGCTATTCTAATAATTTACAAAAATAATGCGTAAACATTGGAACTTTGGCCTTAAATAGAAATGTGCTATATATATCCATAGTTATCAAGAATAAAATGTGTCAAACAGAACAATCAAACCCCCTTTGGGGTAACTGTAAATTTTTAAGTACAATCACTGCCAAACTTGACACTTGCGAATACCTGACATCTTATTATGTCATTGTTTAGCTGTGTTTTGTTTCAACATACCACACAGATGTCTATTGTCAATGTCAAACCCTTTACAAACGGACGGTTATTTGGCCACAATAGTCATGAATATAAGCGTATTTCAAGCAAAGACGCGCTTAGTAAACTTTCATTCAGCCTTAGTAAGCTTTAGGCGGATTGAAAGAGGCACGAAAATTTAGGATGAACGGCGAATGATAGTTCCCTAAGCGCGATGAGGTCAGTAGGCCGCTGCCGCCCCAGAATGGTGCATTAGGTGGTGATGGTGGTATGACTCTTGTGAAGGACACCACCATTCAGGCACACCATGGGGCACAGGTGGAGCCGGCTGCTGGAACTGGCCCCAGTGACCTGTGAAACCTAGTTTGTTCTCCATCATACCGTTACCACCTATATTCGTTAAATGTGGCTGATGGTGTGGTGGGGGTCTTTCATAGGTTTTTTGGTCATGGGGACTTAAGTATTTATCGTTAAGGCTTTCTAGTTTGTCCGTGATGGTGGGGTGGTGTTGTGGATGGTGCGGCGCTGGGGGAATTGGTGGTGGTGGAACGGGGACTGGCGGGCTCGCAGCACCGGCGGTTACACTAACGCTTCCAGCTGAAGAAGAGTCATCTCCATCACTGTCGTAACGTGGTGAGGCATCCCCTGCTGCACCATGGACCTTCATATGCTTGCGGAGGGATGACGGATGGGTGTACGATTTGTCACAACCATGGACACGGCAGTTGTATGGCTTGTCTGATGTATGGACGTGCGAGTGTTTCTTACGGTCCGATGAATTGGCGAATCTCCTGTCGCAACCGGCGTACTCACATTTGAAGGGCTTTTCACCTGTTGACAAACAATCAAATTAATACCGAAGAATATGATTGATAAAACATTACCTTTGCAAAATCATTCAAATTTTATAAAATTTATTTCGATGTAATACATCATTTTATTTCGAAAAGAAGTCCGTAATCTTTTTTTGAGTGATTCAGTCTATTATTGTCCTTAAAATTTTACAATTAAATTACAATAAAATTTAAATTGACAGTTATATATTATGAAGTCTGGACTTCATATATTACTATTCCTACAACTTCAACCGAGGGGACCACTTCAAATTTATTTATTTACATTTATCGAGTAATTTTCAAAGGACCGGAAAATATTTTCAAATTATCGAGAGATTAAAATTAGAAGTTTCAAATTATCGAGAGTCGACTTATGGTCTAAGATCCCGCTATACAACGACCTTCACCGAGATGCTTATTTAATGAAACTTATTTTATATTTAATTTAATATGTCAATAAATATAATCCATATGGGTTGCCTAGCAAATTTCAGTCCAGAGTATGTTTAATTAATATTTAAAAAAAAATTTTTTTTTATAATTTGCGTGTAGTAAATTTTTTGAACTTTTTTCAATCAATATGTTTAACCAGGGTAGTATTATATATGTATCACTATAACCTTCTTTTATACTAAAGATGTATATATACTTTAGTGTCACATAAAAAATATACACATAAATAATTAATTGATTAAAAACAACCTAACGTTTGCATATTCTATGGGCTTCATACGTTCGATTGGTATAGAATTTATCTAATAATCATACCGGTGAAATGTTTAAAAAAATATTTTTTTTTTAAATTAATTAAACATACTCTGGACTGAAATTTGCTAAGCAACCCATATGGATTATATTTATTGACATATTAAATTATATATAAAATAAGTTTCATTAAATAAGCATCTCGGTGAAGGTCGTTGTATAGCGGGATCTTATACTATTATAATAATTGTATAATTTTGCAGTGTTACATGTAATTTTATTATGTATTGTTGATGCGATTTCTTTGTTTGAGATTTTTCCTTACTAGGGTTGCCTAGTAGAGATCTTGTTTGATAGAGATATGTTATTTGTTATTTTAATTTAAGTTTAAATAAAAAAAATACTAAAGATTTTTCGTTAACATCTCTTTAACCAGTACAATATTAGTTCTTAAAGAAATTGTCCCATCAATAACTCCGTAATATATCGGCAGCGAATGCCCAATCGCAATAAATAACCAGATTTGCTCGTTGTTTATAGTTTACGAGGGTAAATAAATAATAACAATTGCACGGTGTACTTAACAGGGACATAAATCATTCATAAGAAGACTTTTGTCACATTGTCGTGACAGACCTGTATATACGGGTTGGACGAAATTCATCTTAAATAATGTAACAAAAGGTGGAAATTACGCTGCTCGCTTTATGATGTGATGATTACAATGAACAATGATGTTAATGCGTTTCTTTATTCACCAGTTTACCCTTTCTTTGGTTGAAATTTCGTTGGAGATATATTGATATACAGTGGTACCTCGATATACGTATTTTAGGATGACCAAGATTTAGAGATACAAAGAATCGCACACTACAGCGTAACTAACATCCTCCCATCTAGACTTGACCCTTGATAAGTTTGATTCGCGTGTAGTTTTGTGTACATACCATCACATTTATTTTTATAACCTTAGGTCGGAAGAAGATGTCTATTGATAAAGCGTGAAATCATTTTCTTATTCAAAAAACAACAGAGGTGGTGTTTTCTGTGCTGGAACGGATTAATGGCATTTCAATTAACTAATTTATTTTTATTGACATAATAAAATGAAAAGGAGGCCAACTTTTAATGGGGAGAATTTCTTTGAGATAGTAAAGTGTCCGGTGTTGGCTAAGTTTAAGGGCAAAATGCAGAACACTTTTTTAATTGTAAACTCTTTCAAACGCTGGATTTTAGCCAATCCCCGCTAACCACAATTACGGCTTGCAAGCTCTTTTGACATAGATACTACAGCAGGATCACAACTATTGCTAAGAGCTGAGGTTTTCCTCAGTTTGCTTTGCATCATTGTATCTAGGAGTGGAATTACCAACTGAAGTGCAGATCCCCGCAGTATGAGTTGCTCTTCAATTCACATGTTTAGAATATGGGCCATGCTTAAAGTGACCATTTATTCTTTGACTCAAAATGGGACATAGGTTTAATTTAGCTCAAATAATAAGTAGTCAATTTAAAAAAAACACTTAAAAGGCACTGACAAAAAATTTAGTTGGCTTAAAAGTTAAGAATCACAAAATATAGGTATCCAAAATGATACACATATAAGGAAACCATGGGGTATGTGTGTATGCGTAAATTGTGTGTATGTGTGTGTGTGTGTGTGTCTGTGTGTTTATGTGTGTACGTGAGTGTGTGTCTGTGTATGTTTTATTTATGAATAAAACTCTTGGCACGATTTTTTTATATTCTGCTGCTCAAATTGCCGCGCAGTTTCCGAAAACGGTCCCACGGTCAAAAACGGCACGTCTGGTCACGTTGGCCATGCCTAAGACTTGACCAGTTCATGACCAGACCAGTCATGAACGCGGATTTCATTCACTGTCGTCATTTGTTTCCCTGCGCCTTTAAAACCCTCAATATTTGCAGTGTACCTGGCATTACAATGCAACATATTGTAATAAGGGTAATTCGAGCATATTTTGATACATTGACACATACTCCACACGCATTGTGAATCTCTTCACGGTTCGGATGGAAGAATGGAAACAAGTAGTTTGCCAAGGCGACGGACACAATTCTTTGTGTACAAATAAACCTATCGGCCCATAATCCCGCATTGTGTTTGGAGATCGCTGAACAGATGCTAATCTCAAGTGTCAGTTAAAGAAATACTTTTTTGAGGTTTACCGCGATTTCGGGTTTGTATTGTGCTCATGGAGGCTTAACTGAAGTAATAAAAGGTTATTGTGTTTATTTGTTGGCTTAAGGACCTGATACAGTTATCACGTGAAGTCGAACACCAAAGTTTTGTACGTAAGGAAATTCGATTCGATCTATAAATTAAAAAAGGTGTCGCTACAAGCTGAATCTTGATCATTTTCTTAATAGGCAAGTAGGTAATTATAAATAATCAGATTAAAGATCGGTAGGCTTAGTTAGGCAGAACGGAACAGAAATAATAAGCGTCTAATTGCGGATATGAAGTCCACAATGCATATATAATATGTACATACATAGAAATACAAAAGGATTTTTTTTGACATATGGTATCGGCCTATGATTGATGAAATTGGATTCGATCTATAAATTAAAATGGTGTCGCTAGAGGCCTTTGATATCTGTATGTTTCTTGATAATTTTCTTAATAGTCGAGTAAGTAATCAGTCGTAACACACCGTCGATTTAGAGTCCTTCATCGTTGGAGTACGTGTAGACAGAAAAGTCCATTGGTGCACAGCCTGGGTTTGAACCTTAGACCTTTGGGATGAGAGTCGAACCATCAAGCCACAACTGCATATTACAATTCATTACCATAAAACATCCCAGGCCCATGAAATTGTGAGAACTGCATTTACTATGAATAGCAATAATATTCCGATTCATATGTAGTACTGGAGTGGAACACGTCTGCTCCACAGCATAATGCTGAGCCAGGGCCAGTTACAATCACAACACACACATTACACACTTAAAATGTGTGTTCCTTATTCCTTTTTTGTCTTTCCATAATTTAGTAATATTTTGTGTGTTTCTGTGTGTGTGTTTCGTTAGTAATGTTGTCTATGTCTATGAAATAAAAATTTTACTGTCTATTCTGAAGTTCCAGGTATGTACAAACACATTGTGCTAGGAAAAACGTCTACACTGCAGTTCCACTTAAATCAGTCAATAAGTATTAATAAAAATGATAATAATAGTTTAATTAAGTAAGGATAAAATAACTAACTATAAATTATATTTAACTCGTTTTATAGAAATACATAAAAATAAAATTTTTGAAGTTGAAAAGGTTTATCGGCGAGATCTTCTGGTCTTGGAAGGTTTTATTAACACGATCCCGGTCAAAATACTGGTTTATAAAAAACAAAAATGCCGTTTGGCGACCGAAAGGCCAAAACATGTGTCGTCCGTCTAATTACTAATCGTTTCATCTCTAACAAAAAATTAACGACAAATTCTATCCAATGCGATCGGTTATCTGCGCACGCGCCGCCGACACGGTGGCCTAAACGACGTATCTGTCACTTGGGAAGAAATTAAGTGATATGATTTTTTTCTATCTGACAATATTAACAAACAGCGTGTGAGCGGGTCATGAACTTTTTAAATTTATTCAGTTTTTTTATAAGAAAAAGAAAGAAAATCTATATCCTATCCCCTAGAAAAAGGTGGATAGGAGATAAAGAAGGATTAGCAGGAAGCGAATAGAGACAGAGAATTGAGAGAGGATGATTCCGATGAATGGTACTGAAGTAACAAAAAAGTATAAAAAATATTATGGCTTTATTATTATATTATTAATTCTACAAAAGTATTCTACTTATTCTGTACAAGAATAAACATAGGCAGGCTTAGTTAGCCAGGACTTTAGGCACAACGGAACAGAAATAATATTCGTCTAATTGCTGAGTCCACAATGCATACATACATACAAATACAAATGGAATTTTTTTTCGACATATGGTATCGGCCTATAGATATTGATGTCTTAAACTTAAACTGTTAAACTCGCCATAAACATTGCTCTATTGTCAATAGTTTCCGCGGCGTACGGGATTTACGAAATTTTATGAACACTGTAATTTCATTCAGAACTCACATAGCTGAATGAATGAATTTTTTAAATGTGGTTTCACAGCCATTGCACACAAACAATAAGTTTCTTCTTTATAATATTAGTGTATATAAGGATTTACGAGAAACCAAAAGAAACAAGGCGAGAATGTGCATCGTGAATTCGTTGGATGCCACGTTGGGACTGGGGTCAGATGTTTATCTTAAACGCCTGTATCACACAGAACCCAATCGAGACACTTTTTTGTTTGGGGCATATGGGTGATGGTTCAGTGGTTAGGGGCCGTTCAAGTACGTAAGCACTAGGGGGGATGGTCATTGATTCTATTATTTGGTGATTACGTCAACAGTAATAATTTACTTTTTCACACATTGTCTATGCTTCAAAACGAAATGCAATTTCGAGGATTCCTACAAAAAATAATACGTTTATGTACTATTATTTTTACTTTTGCTGACAAGAGGAAGGGAAATTATTTACTTTTTTACACATATTACCCACACATTGTCTATGCTTGAAAACGAAATGTGTTTTAGAGGATTCCTTCAAAAAATTAATTCGTTTATGTACTATTATTTTTACTTTTGCTGACAAGTGGAAGGGGGGATAAATTGCAGTAAATCTGTTTACGTTATACTTGAACGGCCCCTTATGCGATATTAGCTACTATTTTTTTAATGCATAGGACTATATACTATGTAGGGGCATAGTAGCATCAGGCACTTAAGTTTCACCATACAATTAAGATCAAAAGTTTGGCACATCGCCCTAAAATAAATGGTGTATTATATTACTTCTTAAGTGCTGTTGTGAAAACACACGTTTTCAAAATAGCAATGTAAGATGACGCGGCCTTTGCTCCCAAATTGTTTAAGTTTAAAAATAAACGTCTTGAAAACTTTACTCATTGGTCTAGTGGTTAGTACCCCTGACTGCGAATCCATGGGTCCCGGGTTCGATCCCCGGCTGAGACGAACATCGATGTGATGAGCATTTGGTGTTGTGCTTAGGTCTTGGGTGTTTAAATATGTATTTATATGTCTATCTATCTATAATATGTATGTATATCCGTTGCCTAGTACCCATAACACAAGCTTCACCAGCTTAGCTTGGGGCTGGGTCAATTGGTGTGAATAGTCTTTAAAAAAAAAAAAAAAAACAGAATGCTTTAAGCATGGCTTCAGTGGCGTGTCTACTCTCATACTTCGACGGCTGAGAGAGATGCTATCGGTTGGAGAAGACTCTTTAAGAAGACTTAGAGTCTTTTTTGTATGTAACAGGAGGCAAACAGGCAGGAGGCTCGTCTGATGTTAAGTGCTACCGCCGCCCACATTGCGAGAAGGCTCGCAAGTGCCGGCTTTTTACGAAATGATACACTTTTGTTTATTATAATCGCGATAGGACGCATACTTTGTTGCTAAAGTATTTTAAACATACACTGAAAGTGTTACACAATATTATAACATTAGGAAACTAAAAAAATGAGTTTAATGCAGCAGTGTTGGCCTAGTGGCTTCAGCGTGCGACTCTCATCCCTGAGGTCGTAGTTTCGATCCCCGGCTGTGCACCAATGGACTTTCTATGTGCGCATTTAACATTCGCTCGAACGGTGAAGGGAAACATCGTGATGATGGCTCGCCTTAGACCCAAAAAGTCGACGGCGTGTGTCAACTGTCAGGCATAGGAGGCTGATCACCTACTTGCCTATTAGATAGACAAATGATCATGAAACAGATACAGAAGTCTGAAGACTTAAATCCTAGGCCTTAGATTTTTGGATCTGTTTTTTAAAACACTATAAACAATTGAATGGGGTTTTTAGTTTTGTAATATAGAAGAACTCCGCGAAGATTGCGCTATATAGGTATACTTTGACAAATAGGTACCTAACTATCTTTTTTTTTAAAGAACGGGGGGCAATCTCAATGCCAGAAATCTCACAAGTGCCGGACTTTAAAGTGTTGGTACGCTCTTTTCTTGAACCCTAAGTCGAATTGGTTCGGAAATACTTCAGTGGGCAGCTGGTTCCACATAGTAGTGGTGCGCGCCAGAAACTGCCTTGAAAAACGGTCAGATAGCACGACGGACGTCGAGGTGATACGGGTAGAATTTCGTATTCTTTCTCGACGTCCGATGATGAAACTCAACGTGGCTGGCGTACGCGTTTGACCCTCATCTTTGTGCCAAATGAATTTATTAAACAATTAGCACTTAATCATAAATTGTACGATGTAGAATTTCGTATTCTGCCTCGACGTCAGAAACTAAAACAT